TAGCGGAGCGAACGGTACAAACCGTAACGCATAACGCACCCCCTCACCGGTTTGTAATTCCGGTCTTCTTGTCACGCTTCATGGCTTTTCAAGGGTCTGAAGGGAGCATAAGCCAGTTTTTATAGGCAGTATGGCTATTTCTCTGGCCTTTTCATTGCTTTCAAGCCTTCAGCAAGGGCTGTAGTTGCAGATAGGACTGTCAGAAGCACCTGATTAGCCAATATTTTCCCCCACAAACTAACATGTCACGCATAACCCCAGGCCGGTTTGTAGCATGGAGGGCAAGTTAACTGTCACGCCTCCCTGGCCGGTTTGTACCGTTCACTCCGCTACAGTACTGACCAAGAAGCCAGGATAATCACAAGAGCACTAAACGCTGGAAGTTCGGTCACAAGGTAACGACTTATGTCCACCTGGCCAAGCTTGTCTACGAAAAAACTGGCTGGACTATCAATCACGGAGAATCCTGCGTGGATCTGTGAGTGCGGCATGTACACAATTGGGCTATATTTTCCTGAGCAGTTACTACCCGACTGTCTTCGTTTGGTCAGAGGCGACCCGACGCGTAAGAAACGTCCCCTCGACAAAGTCGTCAACTTTCTTTATGTCCAGCTCACTCAAGGTATTCGTGGGCTCACGGAATCGAAGGAGCAGCGGAAGGTTTGTGCCCGCAGTTCCATTTGACTATAGAGCCTGATTTGAAGCCAGTGCGTCGCCGAGTTGACGAGTAAAGGTGGGTGTGCATTGAAGGAAGCCCTGGGCGACGAAATCTCGCGTATGTTCGAGGTTAGCAGCCTCTCGACTATTCCAGAACGCCAGGGACGTGGGTATGCCACCGCACTCGTGCACCTCGTAACAGACCTAGTTCGTGCCATGCCGATTGTCACAGAAATGCAGTCTAATACGGAGTCTTTGGAATTCATAGACAGATGCGAAAGGACTCCGGAGCCTCCTCATATCGAGCAACACCATAAATCGGCCCTTCTTCCGTGAGCTGGGCTTCGAGATAGTCGGCGCGGTCTGTCTGGGCAATGACAATCCAACTTGGAAAGAGCCACCTGTAACAGTGGATATTGTAAGTCTGCAGAATATCCCTCGCGGACTATGCAACAAGCGGTCTGACGACATCACTGCAGATGGTTAGGGAGCCCAAGAGCGGGAACAGCAGCATGGACAAGAAAACGATAGGCTCAGAACCGGAGTGCTCAGTATAAAAGATCGTCATGCCTCAGGCCTCAGGAGTTGGTGCAAAGTTATGACCGAAGCACAATACTACAGTTACCTTTCTGCACGCACACGAGCTGGCCGAATTGAGTGGCTGACTAACTCATGACCGAGGAGCGCGAGAGCATACAAGATCTCCAGGACTATTCAAGCTCGAAGCAGCTGATGGTGGTTAGGATGCGGAGTTGAGCGTGCTTACGGGAGTTACTTGTCTTTCTTACTGCGGAGTTTAAGTATATACAACGCGCGGACGGCCGTATTTTCCCATGCACTTACCACTCCATGACGCCGGCCTTGGGACTGGGAGTCGCCACGTACGTGATGCCCCTGGCGAAGGACCATACAAAAATGCTTGACTTGTCAAGTATGCCACAGCGAACGCTCGATCTTTAAGTGTCGGACCCTGGATCAACGCGGAGCGAGCAACTCCCATGTGTCGTTGTGAGGGCTGTGTTTCTCCTGCCTTCAGGTGCTCGAAATATGGACTCTAAGGACAACTCAAGTCGTATTCTTGACATTACGATTACTTCGTTGAGTGCCATGGCCCCCGGACTACACACTACGCCTTTGGAAAACCGGTCGCAAGGTGACGATGACCTATCTCCACTTTTACAAGGCTGTCTACGATGATAGTGCCTGGACGATCAACCACCGCGAGTCCTTCATGAACATGTAAGTACAAGACATAAACGCTAACACAGCAAACTCTGCTCGGTTATTGGTGCCTGTTGCCGATTCCCTTACTTAAACGCAATCCGGTGCGCAAGGAGGCTCCCCTCGATGAAGCTTCCAACGTCCTTTACACCCAGCTTGTTCGAGATATGTGAGCTCACAGAATCTAAGGAGGAGCAGAAGATTTGTCCCTACGGTCTCATTGGACTACCAAGCTTGAACGAAGCTAGCGCACTACTGAGGTCACGACCAGGGTTAGGAATATACTGAAAGAGGTCCTAGGCGATAAGATCTCGCAGATGATCGAGGTCGGAAACCAAGGTCGTGGATATGCACTCGTACACTTCGCGACGAACTTAGTTCGTGTCATGCTGACGACCACAGAACTGAGATCTAACATGAGGCCTTCATAGGCAGATGCGAGAGGTAGCCAAACCTAGCGATTTCTTGAATGTCTCTAGCAGGCTATATGTGATGTCACAGGCGGTCTGACAATGCTATTACAGACGATCAGGAAACCCAAGAGCGTAAGCAGCAGCGCGAACGACTCGGAACGAGAAACTGGTGTGCTTAGAATTGGAGCATTTAGTACAAAAGGTTGTCGCGCCTAAAGCAGATATTGCATGGTTACGACTGAACCACGATGCTATGGTTACCTCCAGCCAAAGAAATCTCAGCTCCACCTCCAACAGACGTGCTCTTCCCGTCGACGGTGACCGTCCCGGCAAGCGGTAGACGCACAGTGCCGCTGGTCTCTGCAGGAACGTCTACGCTGAGTTTGAACGTTTTCCCCTCCAGCGACCACTGCACGCCGTACCAGCCCAAAGGCGTCTCGAAGCCGCCCTGAGCAGCAGAGAGCCCCGATGTGTGCGGCGCGATGGACCACGTACGACCCTGGTTAGACGTCACCGTCAGCCCGAGAACATAGAACGTCAACGCCGAGGTCGGCCCTGAGCTCCAGCCGTGCGAGTGGCTTGTGTAGGAGGCATCGTAGCTGTAGCCTTGGTATGACCGGTAGCTGCAATCGCCCGTGTGAATATCAATACCAGACCGCAGATTTCCACGCACTAGAGGGAACCGTTTGAGGTAAAGCCTTCCAGTAACGTTGACTGCACGCTGAGGTTGGTGTATAGCATATACCCCCACTCCCGACGCAATAAGTCCATGGCTGTCAGGTCGTTGCCGGACTGAAAATGCGCTTGGAGCTAAAATGAATAACGTCAAATAATTGTAATAGCCAGGAAGCATACCCATGACCCACCTCCAGCGACCCGATGAACGGCGAGATGTTATCTGGCAGCTCAGGGGCGATGGCACCCAGGTCATTCCAATATTTCGTCAGACCTTCGCTGACTGAGTTCGCCTGTTCAGCAGACGTCGTCAGGTTGTACAGCACCGACATCGAGTTCGCATCTTGTGGACAAAGCGTTGTCGTCTCATTGTCGCTATACATGCCCGCGGACGGTAGCCAGAATGCCTCATTGAAACGTGTCTTCAGCGCTGCGGCGCTTGAGGACCAATTCGCAGCCAAGGCGGAGTCGTTA